CCCACGTTTACCGGACCCATGTTGCCCGTATTATGCACGGGACCCATGTTACCCGTATTTTTCCACTCTCCCATGGTGCCCGTATTACTCCAGGACATATTTTTGCTCGATTCGTTTTCTGGCGTTTGATTGACAGTGTTGTCGTCAGACGTACCAGGTAGATTTACTGCAGTTTGATTAATATCAACACCCGGATCGTTTGCCGCCGTAAGGCTCGTAGTGGTTTCTGTGCTACCAATGCGACTAGCTGGTTCGCTAATTTCTATGGGGCTATTAACGTTAATTGTATGTTCAGGCTGACGTGGATCATTTACAGTTAGATTAGGTGGTGCGCCAATTAATGTTTGATTATTAATGAAAGTTTGATATTTTTTAAGCCTACGCTTGTGGTGATAGCCCCATAAAGCCATAAAAATGATCACGCCACATAATAGCGCACATAGTGTAATAGGGGCCACAAAGGCCCACTCATTTCTATAATCCTGGTCACTAGTACTCATTTGGCACACTCGGAAACATCAACATTTGATAATCAAGCACAGTTTGTGAATTAATTTTTAAATGTTATATTTAACTGCTTTGTAATTCAAATATTATGTTTAGCGTATTAATACACATTCAGTACAAATGCTAGACATATTGTTTTTGCGCAATGTGAATATTATGTAATAATGTAAACGTTAATAAAATTATAAATTTATGATTATACAGATTAAATGCTATATTAAATTAAAATATAGTTTTAAAAATTAAAATGTGCTTTCAACACTTTTTAAACACAAGTTTAACACTTTAACAGTGTAAGATTGTAATATTAAAGCATAGTTGAAAGCTATTTTTTTTATTAAAACCACATATGATTGATATGTATAATAAAAAATTCTACGTTTAATTAATATATTTCTATAATAAATCTAAAGTATATTATAATACCCTTTATCATTCCAGTATAAACCATTTACAGGTATACATAACAATTAAAATGAACATGTAACTAAAAATGTGTAATTGAATATGTAAATAGCCAAATAATATATTATCTAAAATGTACTCATTTGCTATAAATAATGCGCACATTTAACGATTTCAATAATATTATAATTAAGTAGAATATAACTTGTAAATTAGTTAAAGCAAAAATAAACAGGCTATATTCATTATATTGATTAATTTATCATGAGTTGTTGAGAAATCATCAAGCTGCCACCATAAACTTTATGTAGGCTTAATATTGTATCTCATAATTATTTAAACCTCTATTATTAATAATAAATATTTAACAATAAATCATAAACAATATGTAGTACTTGAGTTGTGATCCCATATCAGTCCAAGTAGTACCTATTAATTGAATAATAAATTTAATGATAATTAACATGTTACCATAAACTTACTTACTTTACAGTATATGGTTAATGTTATATTCTAACCATTTTTATATACTTAGCATTTTTAATCTTAAATATTAATATATTTTTTATAAATATTTCTATATCTTCATAATATTGTATTATAATTAAAAGGGCATTTATTTTTAATTAAATTAAAATTAATGAAATAGATATATAATTTTTTTTATTCGAACAGTAAATAATAATTTTATTGGTACATATTTGAGCATTCTTAAATATTAACGTTTTTGCAAGTTAAAATTAATTCATTTTATATTAATTTTATAATATAATTCACTACAGTTTATAAATCATATTTTATCTAAAAATTAAATTTTGTACTACCATTGTTTTTAATTTGTATTACATAATTTGAACTCCATAGCAGTGAACCTTGAATATATTGTTATTAATGTACTTTGTCACATTACAGATAAAACTTGTGATAAAGATAATGTACTTGTATATATATTTTTTAGGTAAATGCTTTTCTGAAATAATAATAATACAAGCATATATTTTTAATTATTAATCCATTATGTACAAAATATAACATTATTTATATAAAATTATATTTTTTCAAAATAATTAAAATTATTGCACCACAAAACGTACACTGTACGCAAGCATAAATAATATTTCATTGTATTGTATTTTATGTATTTAATAATAATATCACAAACTTATTTTTATATGATCAGATAAATTTACAGTTTTGAGAAAAGTGGTAATATGTCAACCAATTTATTGGATTTTATACCTAGGATAATCTTATACTAATCACTTGCATTCCCAAAGGTTTTATATATAGATGTATAGTAAGTCTAGAAATAAGTGAAAAATAGTTTTATTTTATTATTACTCTTTTGATACAATATTACAATCTATTAGTAGATAATAATGAGAAAGTCTACTGTTTGCTCTGGTTTTTGGTATTCACTTTCTAATGTATGTATTAATTTTTATTATATATAAGGGAAAGGGGTCAGATTATGGTTGGTACCAGTTTTGTTGCAATAGTTAATATATTAAAATAATTTTTCTCTAAATTATGAGTCACAACAATGGTTTTGTAAGCGCTAGAGAAAAGTGATTAACGGTTTTTTATTTATTTATTTTAAAAATTTGTCGCACGTGTGCTACCTCTACCAGTAATAGGGATTTGCGTACAATAGTGTGTAAGCGCGTGACACGTATTGTAAATACACTAATACTGTATCTATTGTGTTGATGATTGGTTTATTGGTCAGTTAGGTTGGGAAAAGGCATCAGAATATGATTTCCGATCATCAGATAAGTTGAGGGTTTGAGCCGCAGTGAGCTAGGTATACTGTAAACTGTAATCAACACATAAATCATGCAATAAAAATATAATTGTAAATTACATAAAACTTTATATAATATTATATTATAAATCCTAATACAAATTGTTCGTAAAACTAAATAGTTTAATTAAATTTTAATAATTACAAAAAACTTTTCATTATAAAATACTTAACAAGTTATTAATTTTTGTACTACAAAAAGTACATAAATTGCTATTATGTAATAAAGTGAAATAAATCTGTTTATTTAAAAATGTATTTATTAAATAAAATAAAGAAAATCTCCATTAATTTTTTAAAATGTTGGTATTTTAATTTTGTTGTTTTTTAATTTTGTTGGTTTTTCAAAATGTTGGTTTTTTAGTCACACCCTGATAATAGCGTAAATAATATTATTATATTATTTCTCAGGAAACTATAAAACAAGAAATAAAATTTTAAATTATAAACCTCCTAAAATTATTAATATACAGATTAATTAAATAATATAATTAACCGTAAATAAATTAATATAAATTTCAACTAAATGAAAATGACTAAATAATAAGTGCTTACTTTATGTATTTAATAAAACCAATGATTAACATATAAAAACTAATTAAAAACTTATGTATTTTTAGGAAATTTTATGTAGAAATTTATTGTATCTTTTAATAATTCTAACCTGATCAATTTTAGACAAAGAATGCTGCCCGGTACTCGACTTATTGCCACTTGAATTTTCCATGCCACCTATTATGTTATTTTTATTATACAAATGGCTCATATTAAAATTTTCTTAAATATTTATATAGTTACCACTAACACCACTTTGTCCACTTTGCCCCTGGCTATTATTCCCAGGGCTCGTTTCGTTGCCGGCACCAGGACCATTTACATGTAGTCCGGCATTATTGCCCACGTTTACCGGACCCATGTTGCCCGTATTATGCACGGAACCCATGTTACCCGTATTTTTCCAGTCTCCCATGGTGCCCGTATTACTCCAGGACATATTTTTGCTCGATTCGTTTTCTGGCGTTTAATTGACAGTGTTGTCGACAACAGTACCAGGTAGATTTACTGTACTTTGATTAATATGAACACCAGGATCATCTGCCTCGTATACTAAGACTGGTAATAATTTCGGTGCTATTAAATGCGACTAGCTGGCTCGCTAACTTCTATGTGTCTATTAACGTTAATTGTATGTTCAGGCTGACGTGGATCATTTACAGTTAGATTAGGCGGTGCACCAATTAATGTTTGATTATTAATGAAAGTTTGATATTTTTTTAAGCCTAGGCTTGTGGTAATAAATACATAAATTAATTTATGAACATACAGATTAAATGTTAAATTAAATATAAATATAATTCCAAAAATTAAAATGTCCTTTCAACCCCGATTTATAATAACTGCACAATTCAGTTTAACACTAACTTGTAAGATTGTTATATTAAAGCATAGTTGAAAGCTATTTTTTATTTAAACCACATATAAATGCTATGTATAATGAAACGTTCTAGGATATCTTTCTATTATAAAGATAAAATATATTATAACACTCCTTATCATTACAGTATAAAAAATTTACAGGTATACATAACAATTAAAATGAACATGTAACTAAAAATGTGTAATTTATTATGTACATAAACAAATAATATAATATCTAAAGTTCATTCATTTATTGTAAATAATATGCATATTTAACGATTTCAATAATATTATAATTAAGTAGAATATAAACTGTAAATTAGTAAACGTAACAATAAACAGGCTATATTACTTATATTGATTAATTGTTGTTGTTGAACATAAGTTGTTGAGAAATCAACAAGCTGCTGCCATTTACTTTATGTAAGCTTTATAATATATCTCATAATTATTTAAAGCTAAATTATTAACAATAAATCATAAATAATATGTAGTACTTAAATTACGATCCCTTATCAGTCCAAGTAGTACCTATTAATTGCATAATAAATATAATGATAATTAACATGGTTACCATAAACTTACTTACTGTATGCCTAATATGCTTAATGTTATATTCTAAAGATTTTTATATACTTAACATTTTTAATCTTAAATATATTTTAAAAGATGTTTTTAAATCGTCATACAGTGCTATTATAATTAAAAGTGCATTTATTTTCAATGAAATTAAAAATAATGAAATAAATATACAATTTTTTTATTCGTACAACTAAGAGTAATGTTATTTGTACATATTTGAGCATTGTTAAATATTAGCGTATTTGCAAGTTAAAATTAGTTCATTTTATATTAGTTTTATAATATAATTCACTACAGTTTATAAATCTAATTGTATATAGAAAATAATTTTTGTACTACCATTGTTTATATGTTGTATTACATAATTTGAACTACATAACATTGAACCTTGAATCTATTGTTATTAATGTACTTTGTCACATAACGGATAATGATTAGGTACTAATATATATTTACTTTTAGGTAAATGCTTTTCTGAAATAATAATAATACAAACATATATTTTTAAAAACATTATGCACCAGTGTAGAATACCGTATAACATTACTTATAATATAAAATTATATGTTCTCAAAATAATTAAAATTAAACACCCCATAACGTAAATCATCATAAATAATATTTTACTTATATTGTATTTTATATACAGTATAGTATAGTAATATCACAAACTTATTTTTATATAATCAGATAAATTTATAGTTTTGAAAAAAGTAGTAATATGTCAATCAATTTATTGGATTTTGTGCCCAGGCTAATCTTACACTAATCACTTGCATTCTTGAAGTTTTCTATATAAATGTCGAGTAAGTCTAAGAAAATTAAGTGAAAAATAGTTTTATTTTATTATTACTCTTTTGATACGACATTACAGTCTATTAGTAGATAATAATGAGAAGTCTATTGTTTGCTCTGTTTTTTGCTGTCACTATCTATTGTAAGTAATAATATTTTATTTTAATAAAATATTCTTGCTAATTTTTATTATTTTATTTAATTTTATATTTTTTTTAAAAATATTTCTCTAAATAAATTGATCTGTATTAGATTATTATTTAGCAAGTTTATATAAATAAATAAAATAAAATAGATATATATATATATATATATATATTACTCTAGTAATCAGAAGGTTTACATTAACTCTGTTTTCATATAATTTATAAAAAAAATTTATACTCCAATATAAAAGCAGAGTTGACACATACCTTTTTATTACTGAGTACACATATTAGTAAATAATTTCATATAATATAAAAAAATTAAAATTATTTCAAATACATAAATAGCGACAGAATGCTCGCCCCTGAAGGGACAGGTGTCGGACATACCGGACATCATAAAGACCGCTGAGATGCTGATCGAGAGGGCCGGACAGTTAGTCGACGAACTCAAGGCTAAGGGCAGGGCTACTGAGGCTAAGGCGTTGGCACTGCTAGAGGACGCTGCCATCGACGCCCTTCAGAAGGTGAAGGACTACCACCCGATAACTGAGCTTGATAAGTTGGTACAAAAGGGACTGGTAGACACTCTTAAGTTTGCCGAGGATAAACTGGATAAGTTTATTCAGGACCTCGAGAAACCCCCGGTGCTCAATGGTATGGCCACGTTGTCCAAAGAGGAACTCCTACTGAAATTGGCGGAACTCCTACTCAACTCCAAGACTGTTCAGGACTTTTTGAAAAAGGAAGGTTCGTATTGAATATGTTTTTGAATATATCTGTTTAAAAATCACACAAAAAAGTACATAAACTCTGCTTTTATATAACTATTATAACTAATAACTACTGTATAGCCATATTAAAAGCAGAGTTTATGTACTGTTTTTAAATAAATATTAAATAAAAAATTTAAATATTATCCTGATAACTCATTTACCATACAGTGTATTTCAACTCTGCTTTCATATCACTGTACAGTATTTTTATGTTAATAATACAGTCTAATAAAAGCAAAGTTGAAACATATATTTTATTACTAGCTCCATCTATTTAATTTTTATAAAAATATATTATAAATAGGCAAACCATTGTTGGCCAAGGGGCTCGAGGCACTGGACGTCGTTCTCCACGACCTGGACACCAAGGTCCACAATGCCAACCCCAAGACCGAAGTGGGAAAGTTAGCTCTGAAAGGGTTGGAGGAACTCATAGCTAAAGCCGAGAAGGACTTGGAGGCAGAGATCAAGAAGATCGAGGACGAGATACACAAAGTCCCGCCAATGGCTAACACCGGGGACATCGCCGACATCCTCAAGACCGGGGAGATGTTGATCGAGAGGGCCAAGCAGTTGGTCGCTGAGCTCGAGGCTAAGGGTAGGGGTCTGGAGGCTAAGGGGTTGGCACTGCTAGAGGACGCCGCCATAGACGCCCTTCAAAAGGTCAAGGAGTATGAGCCCAAAACTGCCATTGGTAAAATTATCCAGGAACATTTGGTTAACGATTTAAAGTGGGCTGAAAATAAGCTAGATGCACTTATTCAGAAATTATCGCAGTAATTTTGTAGATGCTAAAATTAATAATACATTATTAATCGTGTGTTTGTGTTATTAATATTTTTAAAATTAACAATAATAAACAAAAATTATCATGCACAAAAACATTTTATAGATTTAATTAATGTATTAAATATTTATTATTTCAAAGCATATTGTATATTCAGTTTATTATATTTAGTTTGGAGTTGTATTGCAATAATTGTAAAAATATAAAATAGCATTTTTAAATTGGATAATTTAAATATTTATTTTTTAAATTAATTTTATTATTTCAACTGATCAAACAAAATTAATCTGATATTATTCAGCATAGCGAGCTCAATTAAATGTTGCACTTTTCCGAATTATGTAATACATTCGAACTACAGGTAGTATTTTCAATATAACTGACCAAATAATCAACGAAATCATTGTATTCTTTAGCTTCATCGGGAGCGCATTGGGGCTAGGTGAAAAAATACACAAAAATTTTAATTGATTTAAGCTATATGTTGTTTTCCGAGCAATTATTTAATTTATTTAAAATTAACTTTTAATTGTCACAAGTAAATTCAATTATCTTTATACATTTATTAATATTTAAATAAATATATGAAATATTTATATTTTTTTCTAAAAGTAATATTTAATATGGACTGATAGAAGGATAATCCTCTAAATGAAAACGGTTGGCAAGCCTAGCATATGGAGTATATACATAATATATTAATTTTTTTATACCTATGTTTATTATACCTTGGTAAACTTCAATAATTATTTTAATTCACCGTAATTGTTTAACATTAATCAATATAAAATTTGAAAAAAATTACTAAATTAATAAATATTACTATGAATAAAGATTATAATTATATTATTATTAATTGTTTATAATGTTAATTAATAAATACCTTTTCATCAGTTTTCATGCAACTAGCAATCTCATACTCAAGGCAACATGCTGCATAATCCTCGCTCATTTTAGAGTCCCATAGTTTACCTGCCTCATCCCTACATTTATCGTAAACTGTATCACCGATAGCAATAAGGCAACGCTCGCCCAATTCACCAAGAGCCAAATTTATATCATCGCTAACGACAAATGAGCTAGCATATATTATTATGCCGCTAACGATAACAATATATTTCATATTTTAAAATTAAAATCTAGTAAAATAGTTTTGAATTAGTTTAATAATTTGTGTCGAATTTATTTGTTCTAGCTCTATATAATAGTATATATATTTTTTAATATTTCTAAAAATAATTTTTGTTTGAAAATAGCACATGTCAATAGTTTGATTGGCATTTACCTTGCGTGCCAAAAATTTAAATAAATAATTTGATATTTTATTAACAACTAACATATTTTACAAGTCTAGACATACAAGGTTATTATGTTAAATTTTTATAAAAATTGAAAATTTCTATAGATAAGCAATTAAACTAATATGTTTAACTTTAAAAATATCATAATATAATTTCACTATTTGTACATAATTTGTCAACTACCTTGCTGATTTGTATATATGGAATATTAGTACTGTATAATGAAATTCCTATATAAAAATTATTGATCACTATTTATAATTTATTTTTAAATAATTTGCTCATATATTCACCATTTTAAAAATTAAAGTTGGCCATTATGCATAAAATTATTACATTAAAAAACTTTTAATTATCTTAACTAACCTAAAAACCTGTCAATTAATAAAATACAAGTAAAACAACTAACAATAAATTATTATATAATTTTTGTTGAATAAATAATGTTAAACTTTAAAAATAAATAAATTATCATCTTATTAAATTAAATTCTTTAATTATATATAAATATTGATTTGAATGTATTTATTTAATATAGAAAATGAGTGCATGATTGAAAAAATATAAAAACTTTTTAATAATATTTTTTTTAATGAAAAACAACAATTTTGTTAAATTTTAATTTATGTTTAAATGTACTGTAATATACTCTATATTGTATTTTACATGTAATTATAAATTTAACAGAAATTATAACAAGAATAACAATTGAATTATAATATTATAAAACATAAATTAGCATAACCTTTAAAATCTGAGAATTAAAAAACAATTTTAAACTTTGAAAATTATTAATCATAAATAGATATTGATTTCAATGTACAGTATTTTTGAAAAATTAAATGAGCGCATTATTTTGGTAAAAATGATTAAAACACATTTATGTTACCTTTTATGTTTAAATGCAATACTAGAATTTAATACAAAATATAGTATTTATATCTATAAATACATTTAACAAGAATCTAAAAATATGAATGAATCCCATTAAAATATACTGCAATAATATGTAATATGAGCAAAATATGTTATTGATATTATCAAATGATATTATCAATTACAATTATATCAATTATAAATTTTAATATGTTATTGATATTATCAGTTATAATATATAAAATATTTTTCTATTATACTTAGTTTTAAAAATTTTCATATAGTATAATGCGATTTTATCATTATTATAACATACAGTATGTCTTAGCTGTTTTAAATATATATGAAAGTATAAAAATATTATGTTTTTAATAAAATGCTAAAATATAATAATGAATACATATTTTTTTAAAAAACCCCATTTCATTGTTTAAATTTTATTATTTTAAGTTATGATGATAAGCTAAAATATTAATTTACAAATATTGAACCTAAAATTTAAATGCATAAATGTTGAAATAGTGTACATAATTATTCAATTGTATTCTGTACAAACATTTGTCATTAATTTAATATTATAATTTAAAAATTTCAGCTAAATATAACAAAAGTGTACAGTTTATATGAAATTAAAAGTAATTATTAAAAATGTTTGAATACGTGTTCATTATATTCGGTATTAACTGTCATAACAATATTGTGCGACAAATACTAACCGGTATTACGGCTACAATACTGACGATGTTTATCATACAGAACTTGATCACCTTAATTCTAGCAAGAAATGTTACCCAGATAATTCTTTCATTGATACCATTTTTATTTGGTTTACTGCTTTTAATATCATATACCTTGGTGAAAATTCGTGAACACAAAATATTCAACCTTTACGCCGAGTTAATGTCGTACCAAAAGTTACATGGTATTTATGTGTATAGCAATGAATTACGTCGATTAATCGCAACAGTAATCGTTGTAATCTCAACGATTATAATGACAATCATAATCCTTCAAGAACCAATTTTTGATTATGTTTATAAAATTGTCAAGGTGCCAATTGAGTTTTCTCAGCGCATGCTCATATTTGCTCACCATATATTGGGCTGGATCCACATGGTACAATTAATATATTTTGAACTTAATATTAAATTTTGTGAGATTATAAATAATTATTATGCCGTGTTCATTGAAAATAATTATGGTCCAACTAATAAACCTACAATAATTGACGTAATTGATGCTCAACGTAACATTCATCAATTTATACATTTTCAATCTTATCTTGATAAATATACTAAATTGCTTAAATATATCATTTTTCTTTTAATGATATTATTCAATATTGTAGTTTTATATTTGTATACTTTATTTTGTCAATTGCACGATTATAAAACAGTAACAATTATGTCATTATTATTTATATTAATTAACATATATTTTGTCTGGATACAAATCAGTGTGTTTAATACTAATAATGTTATTTCTAAGTTGAGCACGGTATTATTAATGTTTGAACAAATATGCGATGACCCTGATGCCAGCGTCGAAATTTATATCTTAAATAGAGCTGTACATTTATTTCAAAATAACCACGTTACTCCATTATCCAATGTCTGAATTATACATGATAAATAATGAATAAACATTTAATAAACATACTATGCCTATATTAAATTAGTTATGACATAATAATAATTCAAATGTTGTTTTGAATGATCAAAATAATAATTTCAAAAAAATTGAGATTAGTATTAAGTTTTAATATTTATGTTAAAATGTAAAATTAATATATTTTTGTAATTTAAATATAACATTTTTACAGCTGCATGTTTCATTTTGGTAATAACCTTGAAACTTAAAAATAATAATGCATTAAAATTAATATTGAATTTTTGAAAAATATACTAGTAAATATGTATATTATTTTTCAAGTATTTTGCTTAATCAATCAAACAATAAATTATTAATAATTAGTTTAAAATAAATAACTTAAAATTAAAATTTAAAACTTTATAAAATTTAACAAATAAATATTATACAATAAATAATATGCTAATAATTGCCACAATGTGTTAATAATTTTAAAATAATTATTTATTTAAACCATTTAATAGAATTAATCTATTTTTACAAAAATTTATAACATAATATCCGCTGAATGTCAAGATGTAGGCGCGATATTCTACCAGTGCTTATATACTATGGCAGATGGTGTATATTATAAAATAAACTACATTTATATTCGTAATGCAAAAAAAATATTTTAATTAATTTGATCAATACAAACTGTAAACATAAGTCTCAAAGTGCACTTCACGGCACAACACAAACTTAATGCATTGATTTTTTTACAGTTTTGAATGATTCAGAAAATTAATATTTTCATTCACTTTAAAAAGTAATTTGTAATGATAATTACAATGTTCATTCTTAGCTTATTTTTAAATATATTTAAATCCTGAAATATATTCTTTAAAACATGTTTTTCATAACAAATGCAATATAATTTTAATTTATTCAACAAATATTGTACTGCGCATAATTATTAATGCGAAACGTTATACTTGTTTTAGATACACATTTGAAAGTGACTTAACCTTTCTACATGTATTTGAATTTATGAATACATACTGAAATTAATAAGGCTAAAATATACTATCATTTTATTATGTTATATATTGTAATATATTATACATAAAAGCATAATTGCATAATACATTTTATAAAATGTTAATAATTATGATTATCATATTTATGTTAGAAACTTTCGATATTATTCAAAGTTAGTGATATTCTATGTATATAATAATTATGAT